TTTTCTGTGTATGTGTCCAGGCGCAACTTTTGTGGCCTGGGCCAACTGTACGACGCAGCTTAGTGAGGCTCGCGCGTTCACTCAACCAACTAACGCGCTGCAAGGGCCTGAATACCCACATATGGAAATGTCGATTTTTGGCCTGTGACGAATATTCAGGCCCGCCTTCACTTAGGGCGGGCACTTGGCTTGCTGGGCCTCTGATAGGGCCCCTTGAGGGCTCATTCCTCACACAAATCTGTTGTCGAGGGAAAAGCAGTGGGGGCGCAGAGAAGAGGTTCTAGAGGAGATCTTTATGGGGCTGGATCGGCGCAGAAGGGAGTAGCAGGGCGATTAGGACAAAAGCATGACTGGGCCATAGTGTTTTGTCGGGTTTTCACTGCCGCATCAGGAGTTTGAACTCCCCCGACAGACAATCCACCCAGGATGCATTTGTGTGCTGGATAATGACTCATCACGACACCCAGAGTTAGCGATACCTCTGAGAAAAGTGGTCCACTTTACTCACACACAACCGTGCAGGAGGTGGTGTATGTGTCTGAGGTAAAGGCGCCGGAGAGACATGTTAATGGGGAGGGAAGCGCAAAGGAGAGGGAGAGCGAAGGTAGGAGGAGGGCTAGAAAAGGGCAGAGGAAGGGGGGAATTGGACAGCCTGGTAAAGAGAGCAAGAGTCAGCCAGGGGAGTGATGTGGATGAAGGAATGGGGAGGGAATTAGGAGGATCTTTTTTTTTTAATTTGGGGTATTGCTCGATTTATGCGTGCCATCCTTGTGCAAGGGCGATGAAATCTTCTTTAAAAATGATGATGAGCTGGATCATCGTAAATGATGGAAGGATGGTGATGGGATTGGGGAGCTTTTTTTTATATATATAATTTGGAGCATTTCTCAATTTCTGTGTAACAGTGTGTATCATCCTTGGAGGGGTGATGCTTATCTTCTCCAGTGATGATGATGACGTGGATAATCCAAGATGGTGATGTGGATGGTAAATGATGACATGGGTGGGGGATGATAATTAAAGGGGGTAGTACTAGATGATGACGATAGTGGGGAGTACTAGATGTCGTATAGGTGGGAGATGTCAATAATGGGTGGGGGTAAGGGATGGCGCAAGATCCATCACTCGTGAGGGAGGTGTATGGTTGGGGGACAGCGCGGGCAAAGGAAAGAAGAAATCGATTTGGGGCAGAAAGGGGTGCGTAAGGAGAGTGTGTGTTGTCATGTTCGTTATACACAACTTCACAAAAAAAGAATGATTGCCAAGACCGTTTCGCTGGACTTTCACCCACTCATCAGGAGGCTGAATCCCTACAGGCAGTCTGTTCTGCTGGATTAAGACTCACTGTCGCCCAGAGTTAGCAATACCCCTGAGGAAAGTGGTCGGCTTTACTCACACACAACCTTGCAGGAGATGGTGTGTGTGTGTGAGGTAAAGGCCACGGAGAGACAGGTTAATGGGAGGGAAGCACAAAGGAGAGGGAGAGGGAAGGTAGGAGGAGGGCTAGAAAAAGACAGAGGATAAAACGGGGGAGCGTGGTAAAGAGAGCATGAGTCAACCATGGAATTGATGTGGATGATGGAATAGGGAGGTGATTGGGGACCGTTTCTATGTGTGTGATCCTCGCGCAGGGGCGATGCTAACCTTCTCTGATGATGATGACATGGATGACAGTAGATAATGATGAGGATGATCGTAGAAGATGACATGGACGATCTTAGGGCTGGGAAGTGAAGCGCTGCTCATTTCTAAGCAGCGCACTATAGTTCTGAAGTTATCCTAACAATTCGAGACTTTGAGTTTAATAAACAGTGCATAACTGGGTTTGGACTATCATCGTTTCATTGTTTCCTGGATGTGATCTGCTCGACTTTTCTCTATGACTGGTTGTGAGGATTGAGTGGAGTGARTTGCACTTTCAGTGTACCCTGTCATATCGCATGGTCAAGTCTTCCATTGTGTTTATCTCTCCCTGTGCGGTGTGATACTCCTATCCTCTCCCCTTCCTTCTGTGTATGTATGGGCATACCTGGAAGTCTACGTGAGTGAGTGTTGGTCTTCAGACAACAGACAACCAGAATCATAACAGTTGGTATTGGAGCAATTGGATCCAGACTCTGGAGCGGTTGATGAGTTGGAGCACCCATCATCATCTGGCGAGATACTGGAGTTGAGTCTCATGGCAATTCATCATCTTCAGGGTTGTTGTCTGTAAGGGTGGTGGCTGTGAGTGTGTGGCGAGAAGAATTGGACAGAGGGTGGCTCACTCCTGACTAGGGGTATGCAGAAGTGGTTGGCGATTGGTGCTTAGAAGCCTGAAAGGCTCTGAGAGGCTATTTTTAGCCTGGCGATTCATCTGGAGGCTGGCGATTGTCAGGGAAGTGATCCGAGGAGGTTGCGATTGTGGAATTGGGTCAGGATCCCCAATTTCCAGGCAGCGCAGTACAAGGTGATGTGGCGCTGCCCTAACTTTCTCAGTTATTGGCACTTGGGAGTCTGAATTCTTTGAATCTGTCAGTTGGGGGTGAAGCGCCTCAGGGTAATCTGCTGAATCACCAAGTTTCAGGCAATTTGGTACGTGGGAACACTGGATACTGTCAGGAGATGAAACTGGCGAGATAGGTTTGACCAGTAAGCCATAGCCAGGGTTTCATGCATCTTCTTCAGAGTTGACACTGAAGTAAGTGTGTTCCATATTCCATCATGTGTGGCGATTTTGAGTCTATTTTTAGAATAGTGAAATTTGGTTTGTCTGTCAGGTGACAGTTGAAAATCAAAATTCAGATTGTGGGACAACCATATTCAACTTCCCCTACCTATCTTCGTTGACTTCTACTAACCCTGTTTGACCTTCTTCCTGACTCATATTTCATTTGTGACTGCTCTACAGTATTGCGATTGACACTGTTTAGTGAATTGGTGAATTCAGGGTCCTGTCTTCAGCGATAATGCAAATTTGAATTCTGCGCTGACGTAGCTAAAGCTAGGCTAGACTAGGGTCAGTCATAACTTCGATTCTATCCGTCAGAATTCAATTTTGTCAGTCCTTGGTAAATCGCAATTCAGTATTCAGTCAGTGTCTGAAATCGCACATCCAGATTTGATGTTCTGAGTCAGTTACAATGAAAACTGTTATTCGCCATACCCACGGTATGGCATACAGGGTCATCCAGTGGTGAAGTCTGTAGGGTAGGTCTAAAAATAGGTTAACCTGTAAATCGCTGCATCTTGGTCATCACTAGGCACATGTCTAACCCTAATAAGTCACTCTGTCTAATTACTAATCAACACTAATTAGTCCAAGACCGCATCCTGTCAGTTGTTGATCCAGGATTTGCAAGTATTGCATGCAATTGTGGTGTCAGGGCAGGGATGGAAAAATCGTGAAATGGATTTTTGCCTGAGTGGACTCTAAACTGACCCTGACCCTCAAGTGGTCTACTGAGACTGAGCACTCACTTGCTCAGGCTAACCAATCTTCTCTCTCCAGGCAGGTGAGTGAGTTCTGAAGGGAAACCTCGATTCCTATTACCTCATGCACTGTCTTTGATTGTTTGTTCATTGTTATTTATCTGTATTGTGGGTGAACAAAATGGTTGATTTGGGGAAGACCGTGTCTCAGAAGGCTGAGACTTCTGAGGAGAATCCTCAGGTACAGCTGAAGATCACAGTACAGCCTGAGACACCTGTTCTGCTTGACCCTTTAGAGGCTGAACTGCGTGACCAGGAGGAGAAACTCCGCCAACAGGCCCAGGCAGTTGAGTCTCTGAAGGCTGAGTTGAAGGAGAAGGAAGAAGCAGCTCAGAAGGAGGCTAGGAGAAAACCTCTGATTGCAGATGTGGAGAAGGTCAGGACAAGTGGTAGTTCCAGTCAGTACAACAAGGACATGGCTGAATTCCATGGCTACGATCCGGACGTCTGGACCCCCATCCAGACGGTCCGGATCCACACCGGAATCCGGACGTCCGGTCTGGAAGGTTCCGATCCTAAGGAAATCGGCAAAACAGAAAAAATTGGGGGGTTGGTCAGGGCCCTTCCTCACATTGTTGGCGACCCTCGAAAATTGGTCCTGGGGTTTTTGAGGGCCGTTTCGATTTTTTCTTGGCTTCCGGACACGGGTGATCCACGGAGTCCGAACTTTTTTTTTTTTTTTTTTACGTCTTTGTAGTTTCATTGTTCGGTCGTAAGAGGCTGTTTTTCGTGGCCTCATTGGGGTGGGGGCGAGCCGGAGGGGCCGATTGCATTTCGAAAGTCGCATCGTCGGTTCCCGCCCTCACTTCGACCCGACGCGTTTGAGCTCCGAAGGGAGCAGCCAACCACAACGCCCATCAACACGGAGTCCTCCATCGCGGCGCGTCATCCAACGGGCGTGCTGAAGCTCGCGACACCAGAGCGAGAGCGAGCAAGAGAGAGAGAGAGAGAGAGAGAGAGAGAGAGAGAGAGAGAGAGAGAGAGAGAGAGAGAGAGAGAGAGAGAGAGAGAGAGAGAGTACGGGAGAACCCGGAGAAGCAAGCAAAGTGAGGCGGCTTGCAGGCGGCTTGCAGAGAAGCGGTGCGGCAGTAGAGCACGACAGCGAGACGGCGAGGCAGCCCTAATCCACGCCAGTCCCCCCTCCCCACCCCCCTCCTCTCTCTCTCTCTCTCTCTCTCTCTCTCTTTCTCTCTCTCTCTCTCTCTCTCTCTCTCTCTCTCTCTCTCTCTCTCTCTCTCTCTCTCCCCACTGTCCCTCTCTACCTACTTGCGAACTTGGGATTCTATCTCTCCCTCCCTACTTACGATCTTCGACTCTTGTCTCTCCCTCCCTACTTACGATCTTTTTTGTCGATCGATTCTGCGTGGCTCGAATTTGTGGACTATCGTTCTCGACTTTGTGGACTATTGGCTCAACTCTGTGGACCACCGTTCTCGACTTTGTGGACTATTGGCTCGACTTTGCGGACTATCGTCCTCCACTTTGAGGGTTATTGGCTCGACTTCACAGACTACTAGTCGTGCTATTGGCTCGATTTTGTTGGCTATTGGTTTGACTTCGTGGAGATTGATTGATTGATTGATTGATGGTTCGATCGGTTGATTGATTGATTGGTTGATTAATTGATTGATTGATGGATGGATGGATTGGTCGATTGACCGATTGATTGATCATCGACCAATCAATCAATCAATCAATCAATCAATCAATCAATCAATCAATCAGTCAATCAATCAATCAATCAATCAATCAATCAATCAATGATCAAACGAGCAATCCATCATCCATCCATCCATACATACATCAATCAATCAATCAATCGCACCCGAGTCTGATGTGGGTGGTGGGCATTGAAAAAAATTGGATTATTCGACTTTGTGATCTCAATGGAGGGTGAAACGCTGTCCGATGTCTTTGGGGGACGCTCATTTGTTGATGCCCAGCCCCCGTATGTAATTATTTTGGAGGTTTCACATTCTGACCCCATGGGGGGTGGCAAAATGTTGTCTGTTTTTTTGGGGGCGTTCGTTTGTTGCTGCCCAGCGGCCCCAGCCCCCGCGTGGAATTATTTCAGAAATTACGACATTCTGACCCCACAGGGATGTGAAAATGCTGTCCGGTTTTTTTTCTTCGTATCAATAAGTCATAAATGTTGTCAATCAACCAGTGAGTCAATCTATCAGTAAGTCAATCAATCAATCTGATTGAGGGTCGGAGGGCGATAGAGAGTGAATGGTTGTAGAGGGTAGGGTGGGGAGGACAGGGATGACTCCGAGTTTCAGACTTTGACTCCGGTGGCTACTGGTTTCTTAACATCATGTATGATGCAGCATCATGACTAAGCATGCAGCACGAGCGGTGAAGAAGCATTTTGAGACTGTGAAAGCATCTGGGGCAGCTCATAAGGGAAACAAGGTGTGGAGATGCAAGTTTTGCAACCATAATAGAACCGGGAGTGCCTCCCGCCTGAGGGATCATTTCCTGAAAGGTGCCTGCAATGTCACACTTCCGAGAGCGACTATCAGCAAGGACGAATTGCTACGGAGGGAGCAAGGAAGAGATGCCGCCATTGTAGAGCTTGGAGGTGCACTTACTGGAGCTGGTGCTGAGCTTGATCTGTCTTCGAGCGAGGATGAAATCGACACGGAGGATGCAGTCACCATTGTTGCTCTCACCAAGTCCTCCACAACGCATGGCAGGCAAACGAAAATCATTGACAGTGCAGCTATCATCACTGCGAATGAGGAAACCCAACGTACAGTCGATGATTGGATGACAGTTGAGTGTGTGTCCTTCAACATGATGCGGAGCATGTATTGGGATCGCATGGTGAAGGCGCTGATGAACGCGCCAAAGTCCTTCCAGTACGCCAAATTCGACGAGATGCGAACAAAAAGGGTGGCTGTCACGCGGAAGCGGGTGTCCGAGAGGATGGAGCAGCTGCGCAAGGAATGGTCCATCAGCGGTTGCATGTTGCAACTCGATGGGTGGACTGATCGGCGAGGAAGACCATTCATAAATGTGATGGTGTCCTTCCCCAAAAGCGTCGTCGTTTTTAGCGGGCTGTTTGTATGCAGCGCCGAGAGAAGGGGGCAAAGGCATACTTCGACATTTTGTCGAAGGCTATCCGCGAGATCGGGGAGGAGGCAGTGGTGGGGGTGGTGATGGACAATGCAGCGACCTGTGCAGATGCAGGTCGGATGGTTGAGGCAGAGTTCAAACACATCTTCTCAGTGTCGTGCACAGCGCACAACGTTGACCTGATGCTCGAGCAGTTTGGGAAGATAGGGTGGGTGGACGTCATTCTAAAGAAGTCAGCGGAGGTAGTGAAGTTTGTTATGAACCACTTGAGGGTGCAGGAATTGCTCCTCGTCAATTCCCACGGAGCAATTCTCGCAAGGCCAGGATCGACCCGATTCGCCACGAATTTCATCATGCTGGACAGCGTGTAGGACTTGTACCTGCCGCTGCGAACGTGTTTGACGGACAAGGACTGGAAGGATAGCATCGTGCTTCCCGGGCAGCGACATTTGTTTGCTGCTGCGACGGAGACCATCCTCGACCATGATTTTTGGGGAGACCATCCTCGACAATGATTTTTGGGCAGGAGTCGAGAAGGTGCAGAAGACGTCCGAGAAACTACTTCAACTCTTGAAGTTGAGCGGCGGAGTTGGACCGACGATCGACAAAATCTACGGCGGCATGGACGCGACTGTGGAGAGCTTACGCAGCGAGGAGTGCTTCACATAAATGGAGAGGGAAGAGCTCGAGGAGATCATAATGCGGAGGTGGAACACTATGACTTCTCCGCTGCATTGCGCAGCAATGCTCCTTGATCCTGAGTTCAGGGAGTCGAGCTTGGAAAAGGACCCTGAGGTGATGGATGATTTTTGGACGTGGGTGTATTCTTGGGCGAAACCAATGGCATTTAAGGAGTTGGACGACGAGGTGCATTGCTGGATTGAAGGGACGGGCAAGTTCAGAAGCGAGAGGGCACTTGCAGAGGCGGATAGCGGCCAACCAGCCAGATGGTGGAGAGAGTGGTGCACTGAGTTGTCAAACTTGCAACGCCAGGCAATCCGTTTGCTTGGACAGGGGTCGTCTGCCTCCGGGTGTGAGCGGAATTGAAGTCTTTTCGAAAGGATTCACTCCAAATTGCGCAACAGCCTTGTCGTCGCACAATTGATCAGATTGGTATACAATAGATGGAACCAGCATCTGTTGGACAAGCTTGAGAAGAAGCCGGTTGAAAAGGAAGACCCGAAGAAGAAGCCTTGGAGGGATGGGGTCGGGGGCTTGACGGCGGAGCAATTGTGCGAGGACGCAAAGAAGAGGGTGCAGGAGTGGAGAGCCACTGGCGATAGGGAGGAGGCAAAGGATTGTGAGGATGAAGATGACGACGACGATGATGGCGCCCATGACAACGGGGCCAAGGCAAGCACCATTGCATGCCAGCGGGCCACCAGCAGCTTGCTTGAGCTCGAAAGGGAGCTGAACAAGGAGCTACCTTCATGGAGGAAGGCCATACGACCTTCCAAGTACCTCGCCCGCTTGCATTTGGAGGAATCTCAGCATGCAGGCAAGACTATGACATCCGAGCACGTTGAGAAGTATATCAATGCAAGAGCTCAAGCGTGCGCACCCAATGTGAAGGCGCCTGCAAAGAGGCCTCCGGGGCGACCACATAAGCACATGTGCAGGGCACGGAGGCAGATGAGGAGCAGGTGGCCGGAGATGCAGAGGCATCCGAGCGGGGGCGCAAACAGGATGCTGGTCTCGAGGTTGCAGCAAAGGGGCCTGGAAAAAGACCCAAGGGGTGACCAAGGAAGGTGCTGCGAGAAGAGGAGGTGCAGGTGGAGTCAAGGGAGACTGGGGAAGAGGGGGAATCATCTCAGAAGGGCAGCACCGAAGTGGAAGACGAGGAGAGATTGAAAGAAGGGGAGGACTGCAGCACAAAAGAATCTTTTGAATCATCGGGCGCTGATTCTGAAGATGAGCCCCTTGCTAAAAAAAAGCGCAGAGAGAGAGAGAGAGAGAGAGAGAGAGAGAGAGAGAGAGAGAGAGAGAGAGAGAGAGAGAGAGAGAGAGAGAGAGA